CACACAGCAATGTTAAGCACAAACACACTCACACGCACACACACACACACAGAAATGTTAAGCACAAACACACTCACACACTCACACACACACACAGTAATGTTAAGCACAAACACACTCACACACAGCAATGTTAAGCACAAACACACTCACACGCACACACACACACACAGTAATGTTAAGCACAAACACACTCACACACAGCAATGTTAAGCACAAACACTCTCTCTCTCACACACACACACACACACACACAGCAATGTTAAACACAAACACACACACAGCAATGTTAAACACTCACTCTCACACACACACAGCAATGTTAAACACACTCCCACACACACAGCAATGTTAAACACATACACACTCTCTCACACACACACAGAATGAAGTGAAGCGTCGGTCACATCACTCACTGTCCACTAAGTCTCTGGTTTGTCCCTGGACGTGCAGATAGAGCGGACGGTCACTGCAGAAACATCAGAGAGTGATGCATTAGCATTTATATTCATCATAGAACATATCCTGTCAAACTAATCAACAGAAACAGATGAACGTGTTGACAGACCTGGGCAGTGCTTTGCTCTTCTCCTCCGCTGTCATGAAGCGTCCTCTGGTGGACACGGCAGCGCCGCTCACTCTGCTGATCTGTGTGGAATATACACATCTGCCCGTATTCAGTAATGCCATATATCACAATAATGAACATGCACCATATTGTTATTGCGGGCACTTCAAAATACAGAGAATAGTTATTTATTACAAATTATTCAGAATTTTGAGTGCATTTTAAGAATACGTTTCCCATCAACTGGTCACAACACAACACCGCTGTACGCTGCGTGAAAGACGCCTGTGCACTCTGATGCAAACAAGACGCTCTGGAGGACATCATTTTTTATTTATTTTCAGACTTACATTTTAATCTGGACTACAACATGCCTTAGATATTGTTTGAAAGTGTTTTGATTCTTTATTGTTCGGCCACACTTTACATTAGGGCTTCATTAGTTAATATTAGTTAATAAACTGCCAATGAAAAATTCTAAAAATTCATTAATCTTGGGTAATTCCAGTATTTAATAACGTAAAATCAAAAGTTGCAACTGTGTTATTTAATGAGCTAATGAACTAAGAGTTGTATTTTTAACAAAGATTCTCTAGCAAACGTAGCTTTTGCTCACTGTGAATGTTAAAGGTCCCATATTGTCAAAACTGAAATGTCCTGGCTTTTTTCAGGATAACTGAGGTCTAGGTGCTATGTAACTACCATATAAGTTTCAAACCAGTCAGTCCACAGTAACATTCACACAGCCTGCTTAAATTTCGAGCTATTTTTCACGAACCGTTGTGACTTCCGTAAAAAGTTGACATCAGAACTACAGTCTCCGCCTTCAGTCACCCCCCCGAGCCCCGCCCACCGTCCCACTCTCCTTTAGCCACACCCCCAGACAACATCACGTCCATGCCATTGCTGAGCAACAACAACAACACGGAAACATGTGGAAAAGGTTAACTTTAACCACGAAACCAGATCGGCCGAGCTGTAACGTTACACTCTCACTCAAAGGACGGACGATCTGTTACTATGAGGTGATCACATCTAGCGTGTGTAGTAAAGACAAAAAAAGATGTTTATACATTTCAATTTCAGCAGGCAACTATTTTTAGTCTACATTATTGTTCCAGCCACAATTAATCACAACAATGTCTATACAATTACAAATGATTATATATAAATCGTCAGTTTGTTGTTTTACACGCATGCACACAGACATTATTTCATACACGACATAGTCGTGAGATGCAAGAAACATAGACATATGGCAAGAAATCTGTAGACGCGCCCATAACAACAAAAGACAATACTTTATTGAACCTTTTCTGATAAGAAGTTTGTGCTGCAAACACACGCATTTGTGATGATCATTTCGGTCCAGTCTGCTGGTTTTATCGCGTTTAACCACAGCTGTCGTTGGTGTTTTGTCTGGCAGTGGCAGCAGATATGCGATCAAATGTCTAATTTGAGGCTGTATTACGTGGAATTTATAATTTTTGCACTTTAATCTGTGTAAAAGTTTTAACTTTATAAATTTTTTGTGTATTGCTTTATTGTAGGCCTATTTAAATGTTCAATTATTTTTGTTATAAGAAAAAAGTTATTAAACCTGTTATACTGTATTATGACAACACTTTATTGCAACAATTTCAATATCGTGATAATACCGTATACCGTGATAAAAGCATTAGCAGTTATTCGCAACATGAAAATTTGATCCCGGCATATCCCTAGTGAAAAACCATCGACATCTCCTACATCAGGACAGAACATACACACACACACACACTCTCTCTCTCTCTCTCTCTCTCTCACACTCACTCACTCACTCACACACACACACAAACAAACAAACAAACACACACACACAGACACACTCTCTCTCACTCACACACTCACTCACACACTCACTCACTCACTCACTCACTCACTCACTCACTCACTCACTCACTCACTCACACACTCACTCACTCACACAAACAAACAAACAAACAAACAAACAAACACACACACACACACACACACACACACACGGGTCTGACCTCGTCTTGAGTCTGTCCACGGGTCAGCAGATTCCGACAGGTTAGCGGGACGTCATTAATCTCCACCTCAGCCACCACCAGATCATCTTTCACCTTATTACCACCAACACCTGCCACCTACACACACACACACACGTCCCGTGTGTAATTATTCATGCATGCTTCCTCCTCATATTCACACTACATGTCAGTGTTTGATTCTTCATTCATTCACATTGCAGTGTTTGTTCTATTGTGCAGTGTTTCTGTTCCACAGTTAAGCTGCACACATACAGACGCCCGTCACAGCAACAAAGATGCTTTTCAATAATTCATATAAAGCTGCAATAAATATTTACTGAAAAACTTAAACTTACAGAGATGTTGCCTTGCCTACTAAAACTGACATAAAAATAGCTTAAAACTAAATCAAAACATTAAAAACAGTACTAAAAATATTAAAAGCATGGCATAAAAATTCTTAAAAATCATAAATTAAAATAAAAACATAAAAATAAAATCTAATTCAAAATAATAATAAATATTAGGATATAAATATGATGAAAATAACTCCACACAGGATACAAAATCCCCCCTCGATGAGCACCGAATACATGCAATTAGATTCGATTCTAATCAAACTGTCCACTAAAAGCTTTCCCCTCAGTGTAACAATTATTATCAGAAGTGTAGAACATTGTCGGAGACTGATTCTCATGATATGACACTGTGAGAAACAATGATCTGCTGATAACAGTGAAAATATAATATTGTAAAAACAAAAACTATATTTTCAATAGAAATAATGCAAAGTTTCACAGTATTGTCTGAAATATGCTGAGAAACTTATTTCTGGAATGTTGTCTTCATTCATTCATTCACTCACTCACTCACTACTGCAGAAAGTTCATTGGGAAGTGTGTGTGTGTGTGTGTGTGTGTGTGTGTGTGTGTGT